TATATGCCTGTACTATGAATGCAGGATTAAGTCAAAGCAGCAACAACAACAACAACTGCGGGCAGACCTTCGGCAGAGAGTATGTATATTTATTTCTATAACTTTCTAACCTAACTTAATGAAACTTGGCTGACTCATGATCACAAACGGGAGGTATTTACCAAATTTGGGTCAATAATTCCAAAAATTACGGGAGTTATGGAAAATCACTAATAGCAAGGGAGTGCGGAGTGTATCAGAATGAAAAAACAAACTTGACGTGCCTAGGGCTCGGAGGAACCTGGATACCAAGTTTGGTTAGCTTAGCTCTTGTACCTTCTGAGATCCTTGTGCTCATACAGACGGACATGGCTACCTTTAACCCTTTGGGCACAGGGTATGAAAAGAGTTCAAATGCCATCAGGTGCTAAATTTTGTGGCATGCCACTCCAGCAACAGGAGGCGGGAAACTCGCGCTGCTGCCGTGCATTAAATTTTGAGCTTAATTGGCAGCTGTTGCGGCTTGACAAACGCACACAACCACAGGTACTTACACACACGCACGCGCTCGTAGATAAAATTGTGGCATGGCATATTTTCAACATTTAAATTTTGCACATTGTGGCTTTATAATTGTGACCTCCGACCTCTAATTGGGAGCTTTGAACTGTTGAATCTGTTTATTTACCAAAAAAAAAAAAAAAAAGAGCTTCACTCGTACAGCAACCTCCTTATTCAGGAGTTCCCAATGAATAGTTCCCTTCGCAGACTCGTCTTCAGTTTTGACTTCTACTAGCAACTTTCTTTCGGTTTTGACCCGTCTGGATGCTTCCATTTGGTCTTTTATGGCCTCCTTAGTGAGCAGCACTTTTGGGTTATCAGTCAACTTGCCAAAAAGAAATCAAGGACACACTTCGCAGACCTTAATGTTTTGTTAAAATGGGATTAATCGTTGACTTGGAGAAATTCAATTCCATTTCAAAATAAATAGAATTAATAATTGAAATGTTCAACGTAAAAACAAAATTAAATTATGTAACTAAATTAAATTAAGCTGCATTAAGTCAGAAATAAATATGTAATGCGTAGCGTAATAACTTAAAAGTAATACCGGTATCAAAGAATTAAAGTTGCCACTTCTCTAAGAACTCATAATTTAGTATGTCAGCGGCACAGGCTTTTATTATCCGACAGAGAGAATTTGTTTCGCTAATAACTTTACTTAAAATTGACCGAATTGAATAAAAAACAACAGTAGATAATTATGTATTAATTATGTGTGCAAAGTTTGGTTTAGGTAGCATTTGAAATGTTGACACTATTGAATTCTGTAGCGGGGGAAGGGGGGGAAAATTCCAAAAAATAAAATACACTCGTCCTTTCTCGGACCTAGGAGAATCTGGATGCCAACTTTGGTTATTCTAGCTTTTATAGTTTCTGAGATTCTTGCGTTCATCCAGACGGACAGACGGACGGACGGACATGTCTAGATCGATTTCTCTCGTCATGCTGATTCAGAATATATATACTTTATGGGGTCGGAGATGCTTCCTTCTGCATGTTACATACTTTTCACAAACCTAATATACCCTTTCTACCCTACGGATACAGGGTATAAAAATACCAGAAACGCTACACAATTTCGATGTAATCTACAAAATTAGTATTACTAAACTGGCACGATGACAAGCATGACATATATAATTTGTATAATGTAATTTAGTTTTAAGGAAATCAGAAATTTTATTGAATTTAGACTTTTATTATTAGAATAATCTATTTTTCTTTAATGGCATTAAAACTAACCAATATACACGTAGTACATATGTAAAACTCTGTTGAGCGACAGAGTTCTTTAAGTTACTAGTGCTTTAACATATAAGTAACTTCACTTGTTGCACTAGGAAGTATTTAACAATAAATAAATAAATAAACTTGTAATTGTAACGCATCCTAGTTAACAAAATAAAATTAAAAAAAAGTGTTGTCAAGAAATTTCCACACAAAATAAGGGCTAAGAGGTAAAGCCGCCTAACGCCGAACTAACGCAGCCATGCAGAAATAAATATTTCTAGAAGGTCCTTTTTACTTTTTTTTTACACCTGAAACGTCTGTAAAAATCAATTCTTGCCAGAAGCAAGAAACCAGCCATGGATTAAACGCAAATTGTTCATCATCGGCTGCTGTACAAGAAACATTATGAAGACTATCTCTTAAAATATATAAATAATAAAATGCACTGTTTCTTTTTCATGTTTATTTATTCAGAGTCAAGCTAATCATATCATCATTCCATATTCGTTATCATAACAATAATCGTAATTTATCAAAAAATGCTTTGCTACGCTGCTTACTTACATTTTCGGCATATGTTTTTGGATTTCTGTGTATGAGCGTGTGTGTCTCTGTGTGTGTGTAGAAAAATTAGCTTGCTGTGTACAACGGTTTGCTGGTCTATATAGTATATATATATGTATATATATATAGAGAGGGGGGGAGTGTTTGGGGGCTGGTCTAGCTGGCCTACAAATTGCATTGATTGCATTGTCTCTTACGGTATTCACTAATGACCTTTTTGTGTTTTGTTCCATCAACTCGGACACTAATACAATGGTTGATATATGTATATACATCGTCTTATATAAGTACATACATATAGATATATATGTATGCATGCATGTGTATGTGTATATAGGAAGCTAAACATGTTGCACATACAAAAAAGCCGACTTACAACAAATTGGTTTACGAACAAATATTTAGCAAAAATGCACAATGGTCTATCAAACAAAATACAAGGACATTATCCATCAGATAGTACTATACATACACATATGTATGTATATATGCATATACATATATATAACTTAAATATTTAACAAAAAATATTATGTAATTAGAATACTAGCATAATAATAGCTTAATTATTAGAGAATATAGAATACAAGTTGCACAAAAACACAATAAAAAAAAGAGTTGAAATACAAATTATAGTTTCCTTCCCATCGTCCTCCTCACATCTTAAAGCCTGGCCTAGAGTTTTAAAAGTGTTTCGATAAAAAAAAAGAAGAAATAAAATGCAAATTACATATTTCAAACCTGCCATGAATATTTAGAGTGGCATAGTCGTGCTTGATAGGTTATTCTGTTTTCCTTAGACCCTTACATCTATTATATATACATATGTGTATATATATTTATCAAATCAAGTAATAAACCGGCCGCTTGGCCGCAATACATACTCGTACAGACTAAGTAGTGTTTTGGTTGTTTTCTTCGCTTTCGATTTCTGTTCTTAGTTCTTTTAATAAATGTTTTCAATTTTTGCCTTTCGCTCAGTTAGAAAATTACAAAATCGCGTACAAATTGGTGAAGTTTGACATTTTATGAAATATGTCGTGTTTCTTTCTATGCAATAAATATATATAGTATACCTATATACTCATATAAATCGTCGCTTCAGCTGCAGCTTTTCGGAGTATTTCTGGGGAGAGATGTTTTGTATTGAAACCGAAATCCTTTTCGAAATGAAGCGCTGGAAGTGAGGAGCCAAGAGCTGTAATTTTGTAATTTTAACTATATCCAATACTCGATTTAAGGCTAAAAATACTTGATCGTAATATACTTTGCTTTGGCATACCATCTTTTTAGTAGATCCCTAATTTGAGTGATAAATGTTACGAAAGTTCGGGGGAATTAAGTGGAGTGTATTCTTCTTTAACCCTAGTATTGCATAAAAGTAATCTTTCTTTTCTCCAAACGAGACTCAAGCCTTTTTGTTTTACATTCTGTTTGTTTGGAATATCAAATAAAGAGGGACCTATTCAAATTTTTACATTTTGGAGCCATATTTTTAAATATATTTCAGAATTTTGAACTAACGATTTAAAGTTTTAATATTTCATCGCTAATATCATTTATAAAATTGGTTGAGCACAGATTCCGGAGAAGCTCAGTATTTCTTATCAAGTTATTAAGAAGCTCGAGAGAGTGGAGTTTTTTTTAAGAATTGTTAATAGTCCCTTAAAAAAAAGCATATTTTTAAAACAAAATAAGTGTGCAATCAGAAATTGAAAAAATACGAAAAATCGTAGCTAGCGCTAATCGTCTTCAAACTTGGACTTTTCTTGCCCGCTCTTCATTTTTAAACAGATTCTTTTTGAAGGAATTACTGTTATCTTCTATGCATAAGTTAAAAAACAGTTTGTTTTAGAAAATTCTCACTCCAAAAGGGGGAAAGGTGCTCCAAAGATATTTTTTTCTAAATGAAATTGGAACTCTTTTTTTGGAATCTAACTATTTCTGTCCGAATTTCCACTCTGAACTCAGTTCATCAGACTGAAAGAAAGAATTTATATTGTTTTGGAAGTGTAGCACAAAAGCCAAAAATAGTTGCCAGTCACGAGTTTAGCTTTATATGTTTTGTTGTTGTTGGCAGTTAAAAGATATTGTGTCAAAGCTTAGATCTTCTCACTTAATCCTCAGTATGCTGCAGCTTGTATTTATTTCATTTCTTTTATAGTATGTGTAGAAGCAATTGGGTTTAGGTTTAGTTTTTCATTTTAGCTTTACACGTGTTTGCTGTTTGGTTTCATCCCTCTGGTTAGTTAAAATTAAATTTAGTTTTACAAATTGTATGTATAAACGTTTATATATATTTATATATAATTTTAAACTATTTTAAAAAGCTTTTCTGTTTCTGTTTTACATTTTGCTATTACTTTAAATTACTTTTACGCGCTGAAGATGTTGGAAAAAATGAACTTAAACCAAAAAACCAAAGTTTGCTGCCAATACATATGCATATTTACATATGTATGTATCTGTTGTTTCTTGGTATTGGGAAAAAAAAGAAAGTTTCGCTGCCTAATAAATAAATATTTATATTCACTGTACATATGTATGTATATATATATATATATATTTTTTTTTTTAGATTTACATATACGTATGCATATGCTTTAAGCTGTATGTGTGTGTGCGGCTAAATTTGATAAACAATAATAAATAACTATGGTGTGTAGCGTTTGTTTGTTTATAATATTTATTTATATACTTTTTCAATTTTGTTTTTGGATTTGTTTTGTTTCGTTTTAAAGGTAATTTAATCATCGTTGAAATGTTGCAAATAATTTTGATAAGGTTGTTCCTTTAAATAACACTGTGTTATATGTATGTATATAAATCTATGTATGTTTGTTTGTTTGTCTGTATATCTGTCTAACTGTCTGTCTCTTTTTTTGTGGTTGCCATAGACTGCTTCTGCTTCCTTCCGTTTCCGTATTTCGCTTTCAGTATTCGTGTGGCCTATGTTGTAACGTTGCTGTTGTTGTTGTTTCTCTTCCTTCTTGTTGTTGTTCTTGTTCTTGTTGTTGTTGTTGTTGTCAAAAATTGGTTGTTTACAGCAATTGGCAGCAATGAGAATTGGGCTTCGGCGGCTGTTTCACGTCCGTCTGACGTTGTTTTTTGCGTGATGAAATATCCCTGATTAGATCGTAAAATACCTAAGAGACACAGAAGGATAGAGAGAGAGAGAGAGAGGGACAGGCGAGATAGAGAACAAACAACATTAAAATATAGTAGTAGAGTAGGCATGTGTTCACTGTTTAATTGTTAATTATAGACATGGCTAATTACAGTGGCCATTGTTTGTGTTTTTGATTTTTCAAGATTGGCTAAAAAACAAACCAAAGCAAACCCAAAACATATACATATATGTTTAAATATAGAGAGAGATAGAGAGAGAGAAAATGATAGAACCAAACCGATTTCATTTCAGATCAATGTATATTTAGGTGGGTATTTTAAATGTTTAGGCAAACAATTGAGTAATAAATCAATAAGTGTTCAAATAGTGCAAAATACCTTAAAAAATAAGTATAGACGTAAGTAAAAATATAATCAAATCGTAGAACAAGAAACAAAGAACAAAACCAACAAAAATGTGTACAAAATACGCACCAATGTGTTAATGTACTTAAACAATCAGTCGAACCCAACTATAACCAACAACTACTACGCAAATCAATTATCATTTGGGATATAGGGAGGTTCGACTGCTGGACTGCGTACTGTTTCTTGTTTATGTATTTGTATATGTGTGTGTGAGAGTGGTGTGTGTGTGTGTTTTAGTGTAGTTGTGAGTTATTCAACAGTAGGTGGTTCAACTAGTATCTTTAAACATTTTTCGAAATAGTTGTCAGTTAATTGTGTTAAACCAAAACCCTATCTAAGCTGAGCTCTCAAAGCTTTGCCAAAGAAATCAACGATATATTTGTGTCGTTGCATAAATCATATAATATTATGGCATATATAGGATCATGTATCTTATTTGTCATTCTTTAGATGGCAGAATCGAAATTGTCCTCAACTCCGGGCAAACAAACTTCCACTACTGAAGCGAATGACTATCATTTCTCACAATTGAAAACATTTTCCAATATCGGTTTTTAATAATTGCTCGAAACTGTAACCGGCCTGAATACATTGTTTATTTATATAAAATAATCGGAATGAATCCCATTTCCCAAGAACTATTAAAATCCTATATTGTTTCTGTTAGCAGTTGATTGAATTACCATTTTCCATTTGGATTAATAATTATCGAATTCATTTCGATAACTATTTCGTTAAGATATGATTTCAATATCGATTAAAGCCCGAATCGTTTTGATTAGCAGTTAATTTAGTTACAATTTCTGATCTTGATTTCGATAACTACTTTGATCGATATTGTTTCGGTGAGCAGTTATTTGAGTTCAAAACTATTATTTCTATTGTTGAATATCTCTTTTTTTCGACTGAACATGATGACCATATTAGATTACATAATATTAAATGATGATAGATGCCTGTCGTTTGAAATTAGACGTTGTACATATAACCTTAAATAGTGTTTAATATCCATTATCTCAAGTTCGTCTTGATAGTTACTATACTTGTATAATGAGAATCATTTCATAAAAACAAAAAAAACCATAGTTTCTGAAACTGAACCAAGTAGCTATCTACATTTGTTATTGCGATGGCAAACTTATATATAATAGAGAAGAAAAGCATAAAAATATGTAAACCAAGCGTCTGGATAAAGCAGTGATAACTGAAAAGCCAATTAAATAAACGAGTTAGTGGTCTAAGAGAGCAGCAGAAAAGGTATTAAAGAGTGTTGGCAAATCAAATAAAGCCAGAAATCGGATAAGAAACGCATGCAGGAAACAAACAAGTGGAACTAAGTGGATACTTGGTAGCTGGGTGGCTGGGGGGGGGGGGGGGGGGGGGTTAGAGCTTTAAGCATACATAGTACTGGTATTAGTGTTGGCATTGCATTTAAGCTAAGGTGGTTTATTAATTGTTTTTGGTATGCACCTAATGCCTAAAGTAGGGTACACTTAAGTCTCCGCTTCTTGCATCTATCTTTAGCACGCCCGCTAGTCGCTTTCGAATCTTCGGTTTTTCGTGATCTTATTTCGCGCATCAAATCAAAAAATACCTGTGACGGGAATAAAATATAGTAGTATGTATATATATTTTATAAAACTGTTTTTTTTTGTTTTTTTTTTTTTTAAATAGAAAAAGCAACAAAACAAAATTTTGATTGATTTCGTTTGATTGAAATAGACAGTGTGTGTATATCTGTGATGGAAATATAGATATAGATAGAGAGATAGATTGAGACCAAGTTAACACAGCGAGTGCTAATCATAATTTGCTAGGTATATGTATATTGTTGCACTACTTAGTATGAAGAGCAGAAATATTTTTAATAAAGCATCGGCAGCAGAAGCGGCAGCAGCAAGATATGATTTTAATAACTCTGCAAACTATGCTAAGGTTTTTCCCCTCACACACACAAACACACACACACACAGTGCGTATATATGTGCGAGCGTAGTTGTAGTGGTGGTTGTTAAGATTTAAATATACTCCTTTCGTATGTAAATACACTTTATATACAGTTGCGCTCAATATAATAATAGTTTCGAATCTTGAAATCCTCCCTTTGATCCAGAAATGCTCACTTCCTTTGAGCTTATCAATCATATCTGATGAGTTCATCTAGCAACAGCAGTCTGACATATATTTTGATTTTCCTAAATATTATATAGCCAAATTAAATCGTCTCCCTAACCCTCAATGCTATAAAAACTATAACTTGTCAGTTTCATTAATTACTATCATTAATTATTACTATCCTTATTACTGCTCCTGTTGCTGACTTGCCTCCCAATTCATAGAATTACGGTGTCCTTTTTACTAATACATGTACTTTGTATCCTAATAACATTTTCTCCTCTCACGCTCCTATAATTACTCATAATTGTTTATTTTCTACTAGCATATACTTATCTTTAATCTTAATTCTTGCTTGGGTTAGGCAACATTTCCAGTTGTGTACTCTAAGAGTGTTCTGTTTCCCTAGGTATTACTAATACTAGTCTAATAGTTTTAAGTTTATTCATTTTTATAGGTTGGATCGGTTTGGAGACGTACACTACACTACTATAATTTTGAGCGACCAAATTAATTAAACTCTGCGAACGATTTTATTTTATAAAGGATGCCTATATTTTTAGCTTGAATTCGAGTCGATATTTAAACTAGCACTACTAATATTTTGAACGCAGCTGTAAATATTTGTATCGGTATATATATTATATATACTGTGTTTGTAAATATTTAGCTTTGGAATTATGACGTCTCAGCAAATATTTCAATGCAATTTGAAATTGTTTTCTTTTTTTAAGTTAACTTTTATTGTAAGTTCTCTTTATGTTTCGATATTCGTTTAAAAATGTCGGAATTTAAATTTGGAATTAAGCGGAAGTTTCTTTCACTCGGAAAATTCAAAAGGAAATTTAATAATATATAAATATAATTATATAATTTATTCATTTCATTAATTTGTAATGTTCTTATAAGCTTGAATTGTGCTTTAAAACAGCATTAACAGCAAAACCGAAAGTTGAAGCCTGAAAGTATGCAATATTATTTAATTTAAATTGCATTGCGACTTCACTTAATAAGTATTTACTATAGAAGTGTTCCGACATCAATAAAAATGAAACGAGTGAAGAAAAAGTTATTTTACGTTCCAATTATTACATTTTTATGAAAAGGCAGTTTAAAACAGCATTTTCTTTTACAAATGTTTAGTCATAAATTGAATGAAAGTGAGCATCTGATTGTTAACGAAAACAATGAGTAAGTAGTTTGGTGAAAATACGAGTCACATATGTCTCTACTAAGTTCGAAGCACTTGCTGAATCCGTAAGAAGTTTATAAAAAAAAAAACGTCAAATATGGGAAGATGTTTTTTTTTTTTAATATACAAACATACGCATGTGTGTGTGCGTTTGTGAGTGTGTGCCTATATAAATTGTTTAAAACTTACAGTTAAATCTACATTGTGTTTTCTTTGCTTTTGCTGTAGTTTTTGTTTCTCGCAACGCTTTCTAAGCAATTAACGATAAACGAATAACGATTTATATGTATACGTATATAGTATAAACATATACGAGTATAAGTATATAGCAACAAGAACAACAGCAAGAAATATATATTTATTTATGTATATAAATATGCTTTAGAAAAACGGAATACGATAAATACATACACAATTAAACAACAATAACAATAAGATTATAGAGCGCTTATGTGAATACGAAAAAAAGAAGAAATAAGAAATGCACAAAATACAAATTGATAACAACTTTGTGTGTGTATGTGTGTGTGTATATTTTTGTGTCTTGGTGTGTGTGTAATTGTTGTTGTTGTCGGCGCTACCCATTATATGATAAATAATATAGTATATTAATGAATGTCCACTCAATGTTTAGCAAAACTAAACTTGATAACAGAATTTTCAACAAAAAATTGTGCAATAAAAACAATAATGAAAGACAATTTTGTTCCTATTCCTTTATTATTCATAATTTTTTTCTGCTTATTTTTTTGCTTGCTTGCCAATTTGCTTCTTCAACTCAAAAGTTAGAACGCAACATACTTTATATTGTACATATTTGTATATATAGTATACTATATGTGCTCGCCTATATGCCCATTCATGTGTGTTTTCTAATGTAATTACAAATTCTAAATTTCATTATTTCATTTAATTAATATATCATTTAATAATACAATTTAGTTCGACATACAACTATTTAAGTCTATTTATGTATTTGCCTGCTCAAAAATATTAAGCACTGTTTACACCAATCTAATCAGTTGCTGATTCAGTAGTGTTGCTCCTTAACTCAAATTAAGTGCAAAATTCAACCCCTAAATGGGTGAAAAACCGTAGACTTTAATTGTTTTTCAATGCTTAAATGAAAAATGCTTGCTTAAACGAACGAGCTGTGAATCTTTCTCTAATTGTTTATGATGACAAATGTTGTGTTGCCAATAAACGCTGATGGCCAATAATAGTGACAATGCATAAAAGTATATGAATAGTTAGTTATATATGCAAACAAAAATATATATTATTGTTAGAAGTTAGGGAAATATGCCCAACTCGATAAACTATAGGTGTTACAAGCAAAGTCATCTAGTTTTCTTAAGAGAACGCTTAAATGCATTTCAGTCGTTGCTCTCTAAGACATATTTCCCATTTTAGTGCACTCTTTTGAATGCAATATTTTTGTATAGAATTTTAAATTCCAACCACTTTATTTGATCTACAAAGAACCGAACAAAAATAATCAATTCAGTTGATTTTTAATTGAATGGTTCCCAGCATCAGCTGAGTTGCCCTCATGTCTAGCCACAAGCTCTATACAGCTAAGCCATTCTGAATCTGTAAACGAATTCAAAAACTGAACAAACACAAATCATATATATTTAGGTATATACATATGTATGTGTGTACATTCCACAAATGGGCATATATCGAGCATAATATTGATCATAATCATTCACCCGTGAGGTTGCCCCACCCCAGTTGACCCTCCCCGTCTATCTCACCAACCCACTCAACCCACACGACTTACCTTGTCAACATTCTCGCGCGTCTTGGCCGATGTCTCCACATAGGGCACTGACCATTGCTGTGCCCTTAACTGGCACTCGTTCAACGGCACTTTGCGTTTGTCATTCAAATCGCATTTGTTGCCCACCAGCAGGAACGGTATGCTCTCATCATTCTTTACGCGTAATATTTGTTCTCTGGGGAAAGAGGAAGATAGAGAGAGAGAGAGAGAGAAGGGGGACATTTATACATACATACATACATGTTATATAATTAAATACGCTTGGGTGTTGTTGATAAGCCGCCAACTGCCGTTGCTTATCAATTGGCAGCGTTGAGACTTATAGTAAAAGCACTCCAACCACTTACTTAGCCTCTCGACTGGCTCGGAATCTGACTCACACACTCACACAGCCATACACACTCATATGACAAATGCTAACGCACATGAGTCAAATGAAAATGCCAAAATGTTTGCCCAACGGCAGGGTTGTAAGCCGTCCAAGAAGAAGAAGAACGCGCCCAGTATGGCAGAGAAGGGTGCGGCTCTTACAAAATAAAAAAACAAAAAAAAACCTGTTGACCGAAAATGGCAAAACAAACACACACCCCTCGTAACTATTTTAAATGCGGCCTAAACATGCCACCAGCACTCACACATAAGTACATAAACATATGCTGCCACTTTGGCTTTATGTTTATTTCCCCCGTTACAGTTACAGTTGTGCGAGCCGTTGTTGTTTTTGTTGTTGTTGTTGTTGTTACTGCTGTCATGTTGCTGCCCCAAATGATATGTGACATACTACTTATACCCATATGTGTGTAGGTATATCGTTCATACTGTAGAAAGCCCACAAACACAGTCATACCTCGCTATAGCGGCTCCAATACCCAATACTATCGATGGTTTGTATAAACGATCGATTGTTCAAATCACGATATGTTCTAGGTAGCGATATCATTAGCTGAATCGACTCTGATAAAGGCCGATAAGTTTTGGAAGGCATAACCAAACAGCTCTATTACTAGGCTAGGCTTAGCTTAGTCGGGAATTACAAGAGGGATGATAGTTACGTATTTTGGGAAATTCCATAGCCACGCGATTATTTCACGAAACTCGATTATTAAGTAAAAATATGTTCACAGTACACCTAAATTTCTTCTTAATTGATTGGTAATTAGCTGAGTTGAAGAACAAATAAATACAAATAAAATAAGAATGCGTTTTACATCGATAATACATATCGATGGTTTCTTCCTCAATTACCAATTGTGACCACCAACGATAGATTGGCCAAACGATATATAGAATCATCGGAAAAGATTTAATAGAATCAATTTAAAAGGATTAGAATAGTTACGGAAATTTAAAAAATCATTGAAACGATAATTACAATATATAAAAATATTGCTACATAATTCCTTTTTTACACAATTTTGATATAACACGATTTAAAAATTAAAAATTGCATATATATTTCTTTAGAAATTAGGAACCAATCACCTATTTTTGCATATGATCAATGTCTTTTTTTACACGGTTGTTTCTGGAACCAATCTAGCGTGTAAAAACAGAATTAGGTGTATACTTGTATGAAATGAAAAACCAATAAATATTCTGAAAATTTGGCGTATACAATTTTTGAATATCGCTCTCAAATATTATCCATTTCAATAAAAAGATAAATTCTATATATATATTAAAAGATTGCTTTTTTTATCTGGTGGTTATAAAACCTGTATTTAGCTTCGTTTTATTTCTTTGTTGTTCCTTAGAATTCGGAATGGGACTACTTTTGATACTATGGAAAAAACATACTTCACCATTCGTCATTGCGAAGTCGGACTGTGCTCAGAGAGCACCTTTTTATATACCGCTGTACATACTTATGTATATCGATCAGTTTCAACATTGGCAAGCCCATATTTGTAAGCCATAAGAGCTGCAGTTCAGTCCCAGCTGAACGGTTTCCCATTTCCTTTATGTTTCCTTTCGGACTGCCACTGCTTCCCTATGGTGTCAGTCCATATGGCGGAGCAGAGGCAATCGATGGACTGACTAGACGTCTGGCGAGCATTAATTTTTAGCTGATAGGCCGCTAAATTAGCACCCATAGCGTGTGAAATTGGAATGGCTTTAACTGCAGTTAACAGGTGCCCTGGCTCTAAAGCGAGTCTAACACTGAACATAATGTCATAAATTAGCAACATTTTCGATGTGTGCCAACAACAAATCTTTTTCAAATAGTATTCCTGAGTAAATAACCATGGCTTTGGAGTGTAGGCAGATGTAAGATTTTCTGTTTAAGAGGTTGAAAATGTCGAACCCAAAAATAACTACCTAAAGCCATCATTGTTACATTTCGAAAATTGATTTGAAGAGTAATGCTTGGAGTGTGTTTTTTCGCTAGTCGTTAGGCCTAGGGGACAGTACTTAATTACCGACTTTTTTTCTCTTCCTTTCCCCTAATACAGATGTCAACAACTGAACTACCCTTTAAAGTAGGCAGTTGCCTTACTTGGCAACTGAAGTTTCATGCCCACAGGGTGTGAGGGCGGCTTTATGGGTGGCAGGCTAGCCTTTGGGGGGCGGTCGGTGAACTTATACTCGTAATTAGTGCGACACATGCATATGAAAAGCGACACATGAATGCAACTGCAGTTTACTGAATGGGTCCCATATTTTGAGAGGACAGCCAAGTAGAGGTGACGGCGGCTTCTTCCACTTGACAATTTTCCACAGACAGACGCACACACACACACACACACACCCATGTATATATCATGTAGATATATTATGTAGGTATTCATAGAAACACTCACCTGAATTCTTGCGTTGCCTGGAAGCTTTCATCATCTGTGATTGAGAAGACACAGAGAAAACCCTCGCCACTGCGAAAATAATTATCTCTGATAGCTGCATAATCCTCTTGGCCGGCTGTGTCTAGTATATCTATTTGTACTTCTTCGCCATCCAATACAACCTGGAATATCAATGACAAAAAAATACACATTTGTAAGTATGCTGCCAAATAAAATTGTTTATCAATTTCGATTACCTTTTTCCTATAGCTATCGGCCTTGGTCGGCTCGTAATCCTCAACGAACTCGTCGTACATGAATTGTAGTGTGAGCGCCGATTTCCCAACACCGCCGCTGCCCACCATAATAACCTTGTGCAGCGCCGGACCGGCTGTGGGCTTTTTGCTCATTTTGACGGCGGGTTAAGCTTATCCTGCTTCGCAAAAAAAAAAAATTGGAGTGTCTATGAGTATTTTAATCTCAGTCGTCGTCGTCGTCTCTCAGACTGTCTGACTGTCTGCTTCTCTCGGTCTCTATTTGTGTGACTGGCCGACTTTAACTGTAAAAGATAAAAGAGATTACGAAAGTTAGTTGGGAGATTAAGTAAAGTGTAAATCAATTCGAAAGTGAATCAAGCATTAAAGTCGCCTTCGAGATATCCTTCTACACCATTTCTATATGGGTTTCCACCATTTACTTTGGCTTGAATATATCACAAAAAATAGCAAAATAGCTATAAATAGAATTGCTTGAATTTCTAGATCAAGCAACTAAATACCAAAATTTCCAATTTGTTTAAGAAACATTTAAAATCGTTTCAATACAGCTACATATTTATGAAATATTGTACATATCGACAGTGGAATAACGTAAATTTGACCCTCTCTTCTAGATCTGGTTAAGACATCTTAAACAAAAAGATCGAAATAGTGAGAATATATAGAGTTTGTAATAAACTTGCTCAGCCTATGGATAAGACAAGTCTACGTATCACAAACGGTTTTCCTAATTGTTATGGTGGAAAAGCTATAGCTGTTCATATCGATCATCCTATGCCTATTCTATAACATGGGGTTCCTTACATTTGACGTTGAAACATCCGGTTTTCTTTTTTATTTATTCTACATTCTAGTATGCGCCTTTGGCTACAGGGAGATCAAAGTGTGTCCTCAGACTGGCATCATCTACTTGCGTCTGCGTTTGCGTTTGCGCTTCCACACGTGTGGCACACAGTCCCAGCTAACTAATGGAATCAATTTTATTGTTAGATGAAAAATGCAATGACTTTTTGTTTAGCTTTGCTTTTTGTTGTCATGCTGTCTCTATTAGCGCTTCCTGTCATTCTGTCTTGCCGTCCATCTGTCCAATTGTCGGCTTGTCTGCATTTCTTGTTGTCTCGCTCATTGGCCAATTGCCACTTTTTCGCATAGCTATTGACAGCATGGGCTGCCAAAAACGTGCGCCAACCGACAAGAGTGGCAACAATCGCCTGAATTGAACTTTTCTACTTTAAGCCATTGAACCATATAAGGCCGGTTGTTGACTTGCCAGTTAAAGTGTCGCTGGCCAAAAAAGCTAAGCCATGCCCGCGTATATATTGTATGTATATACTCGTATATTGTTTACATATATACATATATATAGTTGTAGATACATATTGCTTATGTAACACAAGCTGCCACTGCTGCTGCATAAAATGTTGCCTAGTCGCGAACAAATTAGCAATTGAAGTAAAGAGAGAAACAGCCCGGCAACAAACAACAGTTGAATGAACTTTTTACACACGTGCAAAGCAACAACAATAACAACAGCAACAACAACAGCAACGGCTATAGCAATAGAAGGGAAATGGCAATAGCATATTGCATAGTTGGCCCAAACTGAAGAAAATGACTTTGGCTCGTTTGCAATTAGCCTTTTGTGACCGCACAGCACTGCACTGCACTGCGTCTAGCAGGCATTGACGTCATCATCATTATCACCAGACTCTGCCATATGTATCGATTGGAATAAATCAAGAGGCAAGAAGCTTGTGTGCCGGATATGCATTCATGTCGCACTATATTGGCCAATTGAATGGGAACAACAATATAAACATATTGCTGCAGCGAAAATCAAAAATATCTGCAAACGAAAATCTTGACACATCAATAGATATATACAGCAGACCAAGTGAAATGTACTTTCATTTAGTCCGATATTGCATTGTTGATTTCAAAAATGAGATGGAGTGACATGGAATAGGAGGAAATGTCATAAAATGGTAGAAAATGGCATGGACTGAAATATGGGGCAATGGAATGGAATAGAGTGGCATGGAATGGAATAAAATAAAGCAAAACATAATTAAAGAAAGTTCGCTAAAATGAAATGGCACGAGATAAAGGTAGATTGAATAAAAAAAGGTCATAATTTTAATAAAAGGAAGTGGAATGGATTTTTTCAAATTCCACAAAGCGATCATAATGAAAGAAAGTTCGCTAAAATGAAATGGCACGAGATGAAGTGAGATTGAATAAAAAAAAAGGGTCATATAATATATAAAAAGAAGTGGAATGGATTATTTCAAATTCCACAAAGCGATTATAATGAAAGAAAGGTCATAATTTTAACAAAAGGAATTGGAATGGATTATTTCAAATTCCACAAAACGATCATGTTTGGAATTTATGGGATGAAACAAACTGGTATGGAATGAAGAGGTTTTGAATAAAAATGGCGTAAATTAAAGGAGTATGGAATGAAATTTCATGAGATAAAATAAAATAGAATGAAATGCCATGAAATAAAGTGACCTAGAATTGATAGGAATGAACTATTTGAAGTTTGAGCAATAAAACGAAGTGGCATGAAATGACGATGTGTGGAATGGAATGAAAAAAGATCACATGTCATCAAATAAAAGTGAATTGGATAAATGAATTTAAATCGCGTAAAATAAAGTGATAAACGAAATGTGTAATTCAACAGCATTTGTGGTCACAAGTTTTTATCTGCCAGAATTTAATCGAAAACTAAGATTTAAAAGCAGCAATGTGTTTAGTATACCTAAGTATAAATACTAAGAGCAGTATAAGCATTTCTAAATCTTGTACGATCATTTGTGACTAACTAAAGTTTGGAGTATCAGAAGTCCCATCTATAAAAGCACATATATTACTATTTCGCCCCACAATTACTAGTACTATGCCCTTTTCCCCTTTAGGCACAAGGTATAAAATTGAGAAGCATTACATCTTTGTAGGCTAAACTCATCATCAGCTCCTAGCCACATGCTCTTTGATATTCGATATGCGTCACAAGGTGATGAATTTGGCATAATATTTGTGATACGACGCTGCTGAGTAACCACAGCCACAACTTAGTCCCCAACCACCGCCCACCACGCCCTTCCATCTGAACTTCAATTGTGTCAATACATGCTTGTGTAAATATAAGTCTATGGAGATAAGTACAAATTGGCGATGTACGACTTCGTTGCCAAAATGAAATATGAAGGCATATGTAAGCAACGAGATGCGACAACAACGCCCGCTCTCAGCTGTCAAAAAAAAAAGAAGAACCATTTGAATAGGGGGCAACAAATCGACCAAAAATGTAAAAATAACAACAACGAAACGCCGAGCCACGAGTCGTATGAGTAATCGCACAGAAGACGCGTCAATCAAATCGGGCTAGGGAAAAAAAAAACAAAATGAATTTACAGTGAAAAATGTCTAAAAGCTACAAATATGCAGCAAGATATGATTGATTGCGATTATCTGCACCTGCAATATGCATTAAATTTAGGAAGGTCGGGTCTTTCAAAGAAATACATATATACTATATTGTCTTGCATTTTTTTGCACTCTTAGAAAAGCTCAAGATCCAAGATCTTTGCGGTCAACAACAATAACAACGACAACAATTTACCTACAATTCTTGCTTTGAAACGCTTTACTTCAATTGCTAATTACAGGGTATAAATAGAATGCATTGCTTAATAGTACAATATCAAATTCTGTATTTCTCCGAATTTTTTGATTAGATTGCATGTTTCTGATTGCCGGCGAAAGTTGTATGGTTAGACAAAGGAAATCGTTTTACGGCTACCTGAACATAAAAAGCTCAGCCGATAATGGAAAAACAAGTACTATACACCTAAATCATACTAAATGCTTCGTAGAACAAGATTTTATTAAATCTTGGGGAAGAACCCCATATAACCGCACGGTATTTAGCTTTAAAATATTTGCAAGAGCATTATTAGCAATTACCCGGTTTTTTACTAATATAGATACACCAAACATTTCAAATGGATTATTAACTGCTTGGTATTCTAAACTTTATAGAATACACTTCGGAAAAAATATATATATATATAAATAAGATATATAAATAATATACGCATATAAGATATATATTTTGATGAAACTTCAGATTAATGTCTAGCTTTAAGCAAATCTCTTAAATACCATAGTAGTTTACAATAACTGCATCAAATCAAAAAAGTTGTCCTACGAATAATGATTATCGCACTGATCGCTTGTATTGCAACTACTATTTATAAAATATTGAGGCTATATACGATTTGTAATAAGCTTGTTCTGCATATATGTACGAGTAGATAAGACAAGTCTACATGAAAAGTTTGGTGTTCCTAGCTGTATTGGTGGAAAAGATCTCGGCGTTCAGACGGACGAACATGTTTCGTCTCTATAAAGCGGATTCACCTCTTTCTACCTTGTTAGATGTATTTGGCATTCAAAGTCCCGAGTTACCCCTTTAAACTGCGTATGCAGCCTATAAAAAGTAATTTCATGTGATCTTTTGTCAGTCTAGAAGTATTTTTAAAACATCTACTACTATGTACAATGTATCAAAAATATATATACTTGGAGGGTCTGCCACCCCCCACTACACTAAAGTAATATATCCATTTACCCTTTGGATACAGAGTATAAGAATATCAAACAATTAATAAACATATTTTTATTACTCATCAGAAATAATACAAAACAATAACTTCCCAACACGCATATTTAAATCGAACTGTCTCGTTTTGATTGAGTTTTTCCCACAGCGATAATGTTAAACAATTTTTTTATTCTCTTTATTTCCACACACACCCACATACTGGTACATCGAGAACTGTCTCATGTGCTCGATTGAATTATCAGTCAGTCACACGACGGGGCCTAGAGCTACAAAGCAGCTTATGAATTTGGCCGTCTGTCCAAGTAACTCATACGCACCGTTGCGCACAGAAAATACACACACACAAACACACACACACACACTTACATATGCACACGCACATGAGGCGTACAAATTGAATTACACGCTAAAAGCAACAGAAATCAATTTTAATTAAAACAATTTTTTTTGCAGCTTATTAAATTTTTGTTGATGTCGCGCGACTCTTGTTCTTGCTTGTTTTACAGTTTTACGCTCAATGTCTCTCAGCCCTCGATATTATCTCATATAGGAGGGATCTTTGCGTGCCAAAAATTTGTTGCTTTAACCAATTTGTACCGAATTTGTTCTTCAGTTTTTCTTTCGAATGTTGTTGGTGTTATT